ATAAATAAGCTCTTTAAAGTCATGATTTAAATTAGAACTATGATAGTTAATATGGAGCAACGAGCTTACAAATTCTAATCTCATGATGACTTTGTTTAATGATGGTTTTAATTAATCTCTGATATATAAGATAGAGCTTTGAACATACAGATTCTAATCTCACGATTTTGATTGAGCTCTGATATTTGATATTTAGCAATGAGCTTACAAATTCTTATATCATGATGATTTTAATTAAGGTCTGATATGTAATACGGAGCTTTGAGCATAGAAATACTGCTCTTATCATTTTGATTAAGCTCCGGTATTTGATATTTAGTTATGAGCTTACAAATATTTATATCATGATGATTTGACTCCTCTTTGATAGCTGTTTAAAATTCAGTGTCTACAAAGCTATTTAGATAAAGTGAACCACTGTTCAATATTTTTATTGATAAGGATGTATGGTAGTCTGAAGAAGGATGTGTCTTATATGAACAATATTTATCTGATGATCTCATTGTTTAATAAGACTTGGTGATAAGGTTGAAATATTTAATAGAACAGTTATAAATGTTTATAAATTGTATGAATATCAACATAAGTTACATAATGATCTATTTGTTAGAACTGGACCTCCAACCATTAAAACATAGTTTACATACTAGACCTCTATCTCAATAGATATAATATAAGAATGAAACTTTATACCATGTTGAAGTATTAACATAAAACAGTTAGCTTTCCATCTGATAGATCTTCTATTTTTGATCTGTACAATATACCGATTCTATAGCCAAGATTAGGGCAGTACCGCACCATACACCATACGTCAAACAGATGGAGATGTATGGTTTAACATTTATACCTAATAATATAGTGAAGAACATTCTATAACCTGGATTATAATATAACATTTAGATGATTGATTTAAATATGTCAACTATTTGCTGGGAAAAGGAAACAAAAGGTACAGAATTTTCATTTCCATCTCATTACCCAAGTTTTAAACAAGTCTAAGATAATTAAGCTGGTGATAATTTATGGCAATCTCCAGACTCTGGCTGTCAGAATGTTCTATTTTTAGTAACATCCCGTAGTTAAGTTAGATGAAGGATTGGTTTATAGTTCTGATCTAAGTTTATGATATTATAGAAGAGGTGAAAAGGGTCTATATACACTGAAATCTGATTGAAATGATGAAAATAAATTACGTGCTTAATAGCATATTGGTTGTTTCCTATTAATAATGACAGACACATGACCATGTTTGTGAAGTTCTTTAAGATATTGGATATCTATACTTGGCTAGATTGAAGAGCAATTTCCTAGCTTAGATTTCTTTGTTACATATTCAGTTCCATTATTCAAAGGGTATTGTTTTGAATTAAGCATATACATATAAGCACATTTTCCTAGACCTAGATGTGATAGTGATCTATCAGCATGTTTGATATAAAAACAGAATAAGAGTGTCATTTCCTTTTTATCATGGTAACATTACTAAGACTAGCTGTGTTACCATAGTCAGCTTTAAGCTAGCTTTTGTGTGTTTCCACTGGGCAAATTGTTTAACTGAAAACCTCTTTTCACGTTCGACAATTTATCGAGGGCCAAATGAAAGCTCTACTCGTTGGAAACACAAAAGCTAGCTAAACCTTGTTCGGCAATAGGGGGCGAATTTACTGGTAACTAAAAGTTAACACCTGATTAAGGTCATCTTGTAGTAGTCAAGTAGTCAATAATGAGTGACTTTGTAATCAAGGCTAAAGTCGTTCGGGACCCAGTTAAACACAGCACTTAGACTTACAGCCAGATTTATAAAAATATTCTCAGTTGGAATGTGATCATACATATTTCATACATCCATTGGAGACAACTCCTATTCCTCTCTCAAGAAGATCGAATATTAGATACCTTCAACATTACCATTGCTATCTCTGCCACTTGCTCTACAGATGGCCACTGAATTGGTTTTATAATGTATGATAACTATGATAGAAGAATCTGGTATTTGACCATATTTTACCAGCTAGATTAACAATATTGTACCAGTACCATAGAACCATATGGTATATTGGTAAATTAGTTAATTAAGTAATTAGGTAATAATTAATAATAACTCATGGCATATGGTATGTTCATCTATTGTCTGTTATATGGTATAGGTAATTAGAATACCTGAACTTTACATGAGAATACTATATATAAACTCAGTCAATGAAAATTTTTAAATTGTATTAAGACTTCAAGGGAAGTTATATGTAGTTAATAGCTATACAGTGGATTATTCTAATAGTAAACTCTCATAAGGTTAGCATTTTGTATTTGAATTGTAAGATCTGAATTTGGTTTAAATGTCCAGTTCATATTTGATACCTGAGTATTCCATTTGAAAGCCAAATGTCCAATTTGAGGTCCTACCATTGTGAAATTTTTTGAAAACCCAAATCTGTATGGACCCAAACTTTGAAGATCAATGTTCACTGTAAAAGGTCACTTTTTTAAGTAAATTAAGTGCATTTGATTTGTATTCAATTTATGAGATAAAAACATTTTTTAAAAAACATGCAAAAGGGTGGTTTATTTATAGAATTTCCAAACATTGCTTGAAATTTAGATAGAATAAGGTGAAGGTTTGATAAACAGAGTTCTAGCGTTTTGTTGGCACCAAGAGTTCTGAAAGTTTGCAGGTGATGAATATATTAACTTGATGCCAAGTTCCAATGTTATATCAGACATCCTACTGATGTTCTATCAGCTTATTTACTAGTTGTAGATTATTTGGTACAGTCATTCTTTAGTCATCTTCTATCAACACTTAAATACACTGGAGATAGCAGATATTATTAGCATAATACCTCTTTTATATTTCAATATGTTATAGTTTGGAATTAGCTGACAGTGTTTGGAATTCTATTTATTGGTAATATGTTATATGTTATATGTTATTCCATATATTATCTAGTGAATTTTATTATTTTCAAAATCAAAAATTGATTGACTTCTAAGTGATAAACATTCAGTACTTACAGTGGTCGTCTTACAGAAGTTTTTCAATGTTTGGTTGCATCCATTTACCAGTAGCATGGTGTTCTGAATTTTGTGAATTCTTCACTTTTTATTCTGAAAAAGAGAAAATGGCTTGTGCATGATGATTATTGATTGAATTTTAGGTTTCATTTCTTTATGTCTGAGGCACTTGGCAACTCCAAGCATTAGCTTAAACAAATTGTTGTGTCTTCTAGGATGAAATTCTTTATGTTAACATTAATGTTTGACCAGTGTTTTGTCTTGTAATTGAAATATTGCTATTTTGATATAGCCCATAATTTAAGAGTGAAATTCTGTCTTCTGACAAAAACATAATATATTACTTTTATTCCAAATCCCAAGATGGGTTCTTTTTTATTCTTGGGACGCATTTCATTATATTCTCTATGTATATATATAAACATTCATATTCATAGTTTTTCCTCCATTCTTTCTTACTTTTTTCCCATACTAAAATTCTATGACCTAAAAGGTTTTCTTGACATGTCAAAATTGTTTCAAATACCAAGATAGCTACTATTATAATAATTATTATCAGATTTTCTCATCATAACAAGTTGACTAAACTTACAATTAAACTTAGTCAAGTAGAAAATATTTACCACTATTTAAATCAGGTATAAGTATGTTGGTTTTCAGGTATATATGGGTCAATTATTTACTTATTATCTAGAGAGGTACTTGATACAAACATTTCAAAAAGGGACCAGTCAGTTTATTTTCTATGTATTCCAAATTTAATATAAGAAATTAGTTAATTATGCTAAATGGGTTTAAGGGTGCTTTTCTAGTTTTTATAAAGGGCAATTACAGATATTTTTTCATTTTTTGGCATCTGTGTATTAAAGGTTTTCTGGAATTACAAGAACTTTTAGTTGTTCATGCAGTTACTGTCATTGGTAACTATGATTTATAAGTCATCATCAGTAATAGTAAACTTACTATGTTAGCTAGGGTTCCAGCTCTGTACTTAATATGGCACTGACAAACTGACCGATCAGGTGGAAAAGCCTGTAGAAATTTCTGTCACAGAATGAAAAGGATCTTGAATATAATTTTATACACAAAGACTCATCCTAGAAGTGTTACTTACGGCTGTTGCTGAATCTAAACAATACAGTTATTGATGCAAACAGATTGCATGCAGGATACACAAACTTCCTGTTTACAGACAAATCAAACCTAAACAATCTGTCAAAGTAATGATTGCTATTTAACAACATGTTTCCTTTCGTTAAACACCTGATCTGTAGTTAGATAATCTGGCAACACCCTATATTTAGCGTTAATGTCACTGCAATCATGATAATATCAACTGTAAACACACAAAAAAAAACACATTGATAATTACACAATGTATTTATATTTTTACATCATTATTATTATAAAATGTGCAGTAAATATTATTGTTATATGTTTATGAGGTCCAAATGTCTCTTAGCTGAAATAAGTTATGTTTATCCATGTGCTTGTATTTACTAAAAATTGCTAATTGCAACCTTATATATAACAAAGTTGGAAATCTATGAAGTTTTCCAAGGATCACAAATATATACTTATATGTAATGTGAAGTCTAAGGATCTTGTTGAATGCAACCATTGTGGTAATAAGTTAATGGAGGATAAGTTTGGCAATTTTGAATCTTCAGTACAGGTTATAATGTTGAATGTACAATTGCTCAAAGTGTCTGTAGGCAAGTTTGAATTGGAAGTTCAAGAATTGTCCAGTTCAAGTTTTAATATAAAGTCTTGACTTCACATTTACACATAATTTTGTTGTTGTATATTTTCAGATGCCTTATTAGCAGATTTACAATCAACTACAGCTCATCTCTCACAACCTCAACAGAGTCAACCTGTTACTGTTATAAACTCTAGAGCTAGCTCATCTTCTCAAGATTCTCGTAGTTCTACCCCACCCTTACCACCCCCTCCCCCACAAGAGGTCTTAGATTCTATACCACCTAGATCTAATGAGGTAAGAAAATTTATTAGTAACAGATTTCCCAAAGCTATGTGTACATTCTAAATGACAAACTGAAACATCAAACACACTTTCCAAGTGGCATCAAGTTTCCATTAGGTTTGATTAGGGCTGTAATGTTGAATTGGGAATCAACAAGATATGGTATATGCTGTATATCCAATCAGCTTCATTTGAAACGTAATTGGTTAAAAAATAAATTTGAATGATGTCATTAACACTTTTCATCTTAACTTGCTGGGAGATGAATTTTGAATTCATAACTTAATTATTTAAGAGAAAACTCAATTCTGTTGTCGATCTTGAAATGTAAAGATAATGCAGTTATCTATAATCATCATTGATTATAATTATATGTCTGTTTAAAAAGAACTCATTTCTGTCATTCATACTTCTGGTATGTCCACTTGAATGAAATTAAAATATTTATCTGTATAACATTAGACCAGAGTTTATAGTAACCTAAACTTTAAACTGTACCAAATATTATACTCTAGGTAGTACAGTACTGATATAAGCACTACTACAGATATTATATATAGTATAACTAATACACTAAGATAAACAGGAAGCTATGATAGGATGGTATTTACTAGTACTCTGGTTTCCGTTTTACTATCCTCACTGCATTTTGAGGTCTTATTTGAGACTGTAGGTTGATTCATTATGATTAAGGATTATTTTTGTGGAAATGGGAAAAGGGGGACTCTGTAGGATATGTAGGATATAAGTTTTGGAATTTAGGAATAAAGTGTGAGATTTTATTTATGTTACAATTGTTTAGAAGGTAATGGCTGTGTGTCATTGTGTGTTTAAAACTTTCAACTATTAAATCACAGATAAATATGGGAGAATAGACTATGCTATAATATGCATATAGTTGCATGTTTTATGAATATACAGTATTGATTAACCAATATATCATGCCAGCAGAATGCTACGAACAGATTTCAATTACACGGCCAATCTCTCCTTTTCATTTTAGTATGATCTTACAGTGGCCACAACGGCTAGTATTTTACAATGAGAAATATTGTGAAAAGTGGAATTTAGTTAATTGCCAGACCATTTGATTATGAAATTATCTGTATTTTTCAGCCTATTTATGAGACACAACATTTTCGCGGAAAGGGAAGTAACCCAGCAGTAAATTCAGTTCAAGAACAAAGCAAGATGTCGGGAGGTGATGGATTAAGCAGTAATCTATCAGAATTAGATCAATTATTACAAGATTTAAACTCAGCACAGTTTATGAATGAAGTAGACAAGAAAAATGCTGGTAAGTTCAATTGATTGATAAAAGGACTAAGAGACTAGTTATTGAACCAATACAATTTTATAACTGTTATTATCTTGATTGATATAGTGCCTGGTCTCAACTCTATCCATTAGTTTAGTCTGAGGCAGTGGATTTTAACCAATTAAAGCAACCTATTCCTAAAAGAGGGGTTGTCTTCACACATTTATTATTCACTAGTTTTTAACTCGTGTTCATATTTTAAAAAATAAAACGTAAAATGTCACAAACAAGTGCGTTGATTGGCCTATGAACTTTTATAATCTTGGTTTCTCATACAAAGTTTAAGGCAAAAGAAAAAACTTCTATTTATTTTTTTTTGATTATTACATTTGAATAGTTTATTATAAAGTGACTAATTACATTGATATATTAATTAACACATTTCGTGTCAAATTTAACATGAAGGAAATAGACTACTACATAGTCAAGTAGGTTAGGAAGTAGGAATGCCTACTTATTTACAATAACTTTAATTGTACTGTTAATTGTTGCTAACCACTTTATATAGGACATACATACAAAAAAAAGTATGTAGTTTTTGGTATTACATGTTTATTCTAATACCAATAAAGTGGAATTTCCAAAAAGAGAAATGCACATAGTGGACCACAAACATTGAAATATTGAAATGTATTTTAGTGTCTAAACAATATATAGAGATATTCTTTCACCAAAATGACAGGTTAAAGGGATTGTGAAGAGGTTTCCTAAATTCCCTATGTGCATATGCCACTAAACGAAATATATGCTTTATCACAAAAGGCCCTTCGCATCAAATGATTAGTTTTAGTGGAATTGTAGGAACCACAGACATCTAACTTAAAATGGAATGGTGCAAAATGATGGTATGAGTGATCTTGATACACATACAAAATTTAGAAAACCTCTTTACTATCCCTTTTAGTTAAATGTCTAAAATTGTCGTATGTGATGTATCTATAGATAAGCTATTCCTATCTCACTAAGTGACTAAGGTAATAACCATTTGCAAAGAAAAAAAACCTTGCCATAAAATAATCGTTTTTTATGTATGGCACATTGATTAATGTGTGTTTTGAAATAGAATGGAAATTAAATAGATTAAAGAGAGGGTATAGTATCTGTAGTAAGATATTAGTTTAATTAGATACAGATGGTAGACTGGCATCTACAGCTTTGTATATCTGTACACCTGTTCTATAACCCACCTTTAATTTCAAAATGGACTTTGTACCCATATTCCAGATGCCAATTAAAAACTTCTAGTTAAAATCAATTTTCTTATGATCGTTGGAGATTATTATAAGAATTCTCTCTGACATGATTTGATACACTTTCACAATGTCAAACTATAAGAACTCTGTATTATACCTTGACATCATTAGGCACTTTTTTTATCATGGGAGTTTATATATACAGAGATTTTATTGGATTGTATGCTATTGTAAATAGATAGACTGTATACCATGTGGCTTATTTGTTTAGTCTTTATGTCAAGGCCCCTTATCATGTCATCTATAGTCATCTTTGTACATATAAGATTTTTTTCAGAACATCTGCTTTAAGGCAGGTTAAATTTCAACTAATTTTTGAAAAATAACATAATATGTGCATAGTACTCATTGAACAGGTTTTAGAATTCCAAATCAGTAATATTCCATATAAAACTATCAAACTATGAATAGACAAGCATTTATGGGTATAGTAGCGTCATAGCCAATATTGTGTTGTTTATTACAGTGAATGGTCCAGTTATTAATGGTATAAACAAAGCCCCACCCCCATCAGTTGCCCCTAAACCAGTACGAGCTAATGAAAGAGCTACAGTTGAAAGTTTATTAAATGAATTAGATACATCAGTTCCTCATCAACATCATGGGTAAGCTTTATATTATACTTTAACATGATATCACCACTAGTTTCAGATTTATAATCCTTGTCACCACCCCTTCTTCTCAAAATATCTTATGACAAGAATTTGTCGTATGTTGGAATATTACAATGAGAAATATATAATTAGTTGTAACATTGTTTTGAGAAATAGGACTGAGGACATCAAACATTATTTCTAGTTGGTTTCAGCAACGCATGAGTTCATGCTGAAATAATTGTGCATCTGTTTGAGATATGTTCTTCTGTACCATTGTCAACTGGGGAATGTGTGAACAAGGATTGTACGCATAAAAGGGCTGGAAGTGGCATCAGAATTTCACTTATTTGAAAGGAGATTCAAACCATGGTTATAGCATTTATGACAATGTAACAAATTAGGCTACACCAAGCAATTATTTCTATGTTATATTCTGCATAATAAACTTTAGTACACATCAGAAAATTACATTATATCTATTAATAGAACATTATATCTGTTAGAATGATGTTTAATATAAGAATTAGTGCACCGAAAGACACCAAATTACATAAAACAAAAATAAACTTAATGTATAAACATGTAATCCAAAGTTACGCAAAGCTTTCATTCAGAAAGAATGTAAAACTCACATGAAAGTTTGAAAGCTGTACTGTAAAAGGGTTCATCTTGACAGAATTAATACTCTGTACACCTGTTTAAAAGTTAATAATAGACAATAGAATATAGTTTACTTGTGAATCAATTTACAAACAATGTGAACTAGTTTATTTGTGTCTGAAACTTGAATTGAGTTAACTTTACAAATGTTTGGTGAGCTTAAAGACAAGATATATGACCAAAATATTAATACATCGGATGGTCCAAACAAAATTCAAGGAACAATAACTCTTAGAATGAACATGAATTGTAATATTTCAAACTTGGCAGACTTTCTTGGCTCATTTCAAATAGTTTGGCTTAAAACATCTAGAATTCAATATGGAGCAATTTTTTTTTTAAAGAAACCTACCATACTATAGATGGTTTAAACAAATTTCAGAACCATTTTTTGATTCCTGGAAATGACGTTTAGCAAGACTATCATTGTCTGTTTTGGTCAAATCCTGATAGCCTACTAATACTAGTAGTATTTAGCATGGGGAAGTTGATATTAAGAAAGATGTCTATATGTTTGTAAGGAGGTTTGTGAAGTGAGTGTTATATTTGTCAATGACTCATCTTAAAACCTTTCAACATCAGGTTCTTCTCTATTCTCAGATATCTAGGTCAACTTAGACTAAATATAGAATTATAGTATACCTGTATATTACCTGATTCTGTCAGTTTGGCTACATATGTTGTGGCATCTTAAAAAAACTTCCATAGTTCAACAAAGAAGAAACCTTTAAAATTTGTTTATTACCTAATTTCATGGCATCTGAAAAGAAAACAACAGAGAAAAGATAAATTTTTATAAAATTACTTCAATAGTTGAAAGTATAGGGTTCTTTACAAATACTCTTTAGTTTCTGTCTAGTTTCTAATTAGTTTTTTTTTAAGATAGCTCAATCGTTTTTTGTTAGGCCACTAGGTCGTATAGGTTCGAATATCTCCTTCGATGTAAGAACAAATTCGGAAGCCAAAGTAAGTCCTTTCTTCTTACATATAACATAATAGTATACAGTTTCTGTACAAATGTTTTTTGATACTAGTATTCAATAAAATAAATCAATGAAAATTGAGCCCCCACAAATATAAAAATTATCTGTATGTAAATTTTCTAGTGTCAAATATCATTCATAATTTAATTGATTTAAATGATTAATTAACTTTTGATTTCATGAAATTAGGAGAGTTTAAATTATTTAGATCTGAAATGAAAATAAGCGTAATTAATCATTGATGTCATCAGCTGGTATGATTGATAACTTTTAATGACATTGCACATAATTAACTGACTTTATTTTGATGTAAAGTTGTTCAGAGAAAATAACTTGTCACAGTAACTAAATATATAAGATATTTTCTTGAGTTATATTTTTGGATCGATTGAAATCAGAATAAACTACACAATTATTGATCACCTACAAAATGATTGATTTAGATATTTTGGTCCCTAAACATGGCATGTAAGATTCTTGATAGTCAGTTATGAAATTGATCTTAGAAAACCTAAAAGTAGCTGAGAAATATATGCTATAATGCCCACCCTGAAGCTTTTGATTTCAAGTCTTGGTTCAAGCGTAAAACTAAGATAATCACAAACAAAACCATTGAAAAACGCAGAAAAAAACACTTCGAGATTCTACATACTTACTCTGAGTATGACCATCACAAGATGTCACTGTTTTTGTCAACTCTGCATACAGCTAATAATATGGTATTTTTGTGAGCAGAAGATAATTGTCTGTTTCTGTTTCAGAAATAATATGAGGGGAGATAACTACACTGAAGTATCACAGACTACAGTACAGCAATATAAACAATATAATGAACCTCAATCACCAGTTAGACCATATCAAGGTGCTTCCACAGCTACTAAAGAACTTGATGACTTAATGTCTTCACTCTCAGAATTTAAGGTAAGGATCACTTGAAATTGGGCATTGATAAAAAGTTACAAGCTTTACATTGGCATTGATTTTAAGCAAGTCCACATCCTCTCACATAGCTGCATCTAACAAGATGTCCAAATATAAAAGAGTTATTATTATGATATTTCAACCTGGAACAATATTCTTGAAAACTCAACTAAAGATGATTTTAGAGTTCCAGTCATCTGATTGGCCAATCACCAAATTGATTTTAGATTTAGTTTAGTTATCCAATCAGATTACTGTATTTCTTAAAATTTGGATTTTAATTAAGCTAAATTTTGGAGAATAAAGTCCCTATTTATTAGCTGTTATTTTTTCATATGATTTTTAATGAAATGATCCTTTGAGTATCAATTGTTACTGTAAGATAGTTGGATGATAGTTAAAAAAGGGAAAACGGGCTTGATAATAAATTAACATTGTGGGTGAGCAGTCATCAAAGCTGTACTAGGATCTAATGTGAGTATCTATATTTGTGGCAGTCCCCTAATTGATTTATATAATAATTATTTTTTGGCAGAGTTCCCATCAACCTCAACAGATCCAGTCAGAACCTGCTTATGCCAAACCTCAAAAAAGTCGAAATTATTCATCAAATGGACCATCAAGTCCCCCTGGACAACAGAGTCCTCATGGTCATTATAGTCCTGTAGGTCCTAGAAGTCCTAGCAGTCCTGTACCAAGAAGTCCCGGTGGTCAGCCAAATCAACTAGAAACTATGTTAGGTGATCTACAGACTGATATGAATAAACAAGGTGCTAGTGTTAAAACTAAAGGAGTTTGTGCTGCTTGTAATAAATCTGTAGTAGGACAGGTAAGATTCTCTTGATTATATCTCAGACCTTTTTATCATTTAACCTGACCCTTTGTTATCATATCATATAAAGTAGACCTTTGTCATAGAACTTATATATCATATTATAACCTAGAATTTATTTATCGTATAATCTAGACCTTTATTCTTATATAATTTGGACATCTATTATGATATAGCCCAGATCATTATGACTTAATAGTCTACACCTTTAATATCAAATAACCAAGAACATTGACCTTTATTTTCACATAACTTAGACCTTTATTAACATATAACCTAGACCTTTATTATCATATAACCTAGACCTTTATTATAACCTAGACCTGTATCAGGTTAATGAAACTTTCTCTATATTACAGGTTATAACAGCTCTAGGTAAAATCTGGCATATTGAACATTTTACATGTGCCCATTGTAACAATGAATTAGGAACACAGAATTTCTATGAAAGAGATAGTGCAGCCTATTGTGAAACAGATTATCATAATTTATTCGCACCAAGATGTGGATATTGTAATGGACCTATTGTAGATGTAAGTTGCGAAAATTTCTTGATATTTTTTTTATTTTTATTGAAGATACCATTTGGAAGAAAAGACTCACTAAGTCTTGTTGCCTGTTGTTTAAAACTTATGAGATGATTTTCCTATGGATGATTGAACAGAGGTCTTCAAATGCCATTTGAACATCTTTTGCTATTGCTCAAGTTCTTTTGTATGTTGCTCAAATGGTCAATGGTCTTGGTATTGATGTAAATGGACACTACATCAAGTATTAAGCTGTGATCTTTGTCTAAAGAATCAATGCCATTTATATGTTCTGACATCAATAGAAGATTTGCATTAGCTAGAATTTGAAATTGAATTGAATGTGTAACTATATTTATAGTTTTTTTTCATTACAGAAATGTGTAACGGCCTTAAATTCTACCTGGCATCCAGAACATTTCTTCTGTGCCCAGTGTGGACAACCATTAGGTGATGAAGGTTTCCATGAAAAAGACGGCAAAGCTTATTGTCGGTAAGTTGACAAATTTTCTTTTCTTTAGTGCATGATCTTTTTAAATAATCAGATTCTTTTAAATTGTTTTCGTAATTGAGTATTGGACAATACAGAACTTTTAGATCTTGGATGTAAAACTCAATGTCATTCTATTTACAGTGATGATTATTATTCAATGTTTGCCCCGAAATGTGGTGGATGTGGCCGACCTATCATGGATAACTATATTTCAGCTTTAAATAGACATTGGCATCCTGAATGTTTTGTTTGCTGGGTGAGTACAATTTGGATATTTTGTGAAAAGAAAAACCTAGAAAGAGTACATTATCAATACAATACAAATTTAAGCGCTTGTTAGCTTAATAATGGTTCTATTTTGTTTGAGGGGAAATAACTCTCATTATAGTGTGGCTTGTGTAACTTAACAGAGAAAAAGTTTGTTGTTTTTTTGGGGTGAGAAATATTGTGAAGCCACAGCCATGCCTTACACTAGTTACACTTATGTGATTGTCACATTTCATCTAAACTTGAAGGTGTCCATCGCTACTCTACTACTTTACTCTACTACTTTACTTTCCTCTAATATTTTACTCTACTCCAATACTTATTTTACTCCAATACTTTACTCTACTCCAATACTTTACTTTACTCCAATACTTTACTCTACTCCAATACTTTACTCTACTACTTTACTATACTCTAATACTTTACTATACTCTAATACTTTACTATACTCTAATACTTTACTCTAATACTTTACTTTACTCCAATACTTTACTCTACTCCAATACTTTACTCCAAGACTTTACTCTACTACTTCACTTTACTTTACTCCAATACTTTACTCTACTCCAATACTTTACTCTACTACTTTACTTTACTTTACTCCAATACTTTACTCCACTACTTTACTCTACTCCAATATATTACTCTACTACAATACTTCACTCTACCCTACTATGCTACTATTCTAAGCTTTTTTTTACTTTTTTATCCTCTGCTTTATTCTATTTTATTCTCTACTTTACTCTACTCTTTTTTTCAGGATTGTCACTGTCCGTTTGGAGGTGGAAGTTTCTTTGATCATGAAGGTTTACCCTATTGTGAGACTCACTACCATGCCAAGAAAGGTTCACTGTGTGCTACATGCCAAAAACCTATTACAGGTCGCTGTATAACTGCTATGTTTAAAAAATTTCACCCAGAACATTTTGTTTGTGCCTTCTGCTTAAAACAACTTAATAAAGGCACATTCAAAGATCAAAACGATAAGCCCTATTGCCACCCATGTTTTGTTAAGTTGTTTAGTTAGATCATATTTTGGAATAATTTCTGTTATTTTTGATATATAACATGTATTATAGTTTTACAACTTAAATCATTTTCTCAATCTGATTAAATATAATCACTATGTTTCATTTTTCTACTGTGTTATCTTTGTATATCAGAATCTTAAAGACATTTTTAATGTTGTTAAGTTCAGCATTATGATATGATACAACCAATCAAATGCTTTGTTATTCAAACATTTTCTACATTCAATTGTAACAGAGAATTTGATAAGTTGAACTCAAATTGCATGATCATCAAAATGTTCTAAGATCTATCATGAGTGAGGTATTCCACACACACAAAAAAAGAAACGAAATATGCTGCGTTTTAATCAGATTGTATTTTTGTTGTTGATTTGAGAATTATCTCCTAGGTTAGGCTTCCTGTATATATTTATATTGACTTATTATGTACAGCTTATGACAATATATACATAGCTTTTAATTAAACAGCTTATAATTCAAGTTAATGAAGGGATTGTAGAAAGGTTAATTCCAAATCCATATTCTGTTTTGTTTGAAATACAAACATTTCAAGATCCAAATGGGTCTGAAAAGATTAGAAAACCCTGTTGCAAACATGATGCCAGTCACTGAAAACCATTCACAAAACCAACAATCTATGTTCTGCATAATTTCCAATGTTTGAACTTATGGTTACTTGAGCTTTTAAGCTTTGTAAGAATGTGGTGAAAATTATTAGATTTCAGATTAGAGAATGAGAATTACTTTTGCCACCTGAACAAATATATTCAATTCACAGTGAACCATCATTTATTGCTGTAATAAACACAGAACTTTTAAAAGTTTCATTGATAATAAAATTATGAAGGCTACCATTTTAATTGATTTGGTTCATGCCACATTGATTCCCTATTGTTAAGCAAAATAGTCAAATGTAATTATAATTTATACATTCACACATTAATCAGATATGTTACTTTAATACCATTATACCATATTTTATGTATAACTTCAGTTTATACTATAACTTATATTAATTTAATATATCACTCCCAGTAGAGTATAATAATGTTAGGTTACTTAGCTCTTACCATTTGATACAATTACTATTCCTGGTTATATATTAATGTAATGAGTAATTGTGAGTTAAGTAATGCATGTCCATTTTCATTATATACATATATATACATTTGGCACCAGAATAAAAAAAAAGTTAACATCATTAGCTCTATGAATCTCATATACTAAAACCCAAAAGTTGGATGGCATTTCTGTAAAAATAAAGTAGCATTATTAGGTATGTGGACACTTGGTGTGCTTTGTTGATAAACCTAGTTACCAAATGACATCCCAAGTATCTGTGAAACATGTAAAATACCAAATGGTTATAATAAATAGACCAAATTTAATCAAGAAATTGCATTTTTGTCACATTTATTGCAAGGTTTTTTTTATTTATCAATTCTTTTTCTGAAGATCGCATAGCGTAAAAACTCTGAATAACAACATGTTTTTTCAGTTTCTGTTTTAATATTTCTATTAATTCTTTAAAATAAATAGAATCTTTATACTGGTAAATGGAATAAAAGTATAATTGATTTCTGTTTTATGTTATAATAATAATTTAATAATGAATTGTTAGATTAGATAGAACTATGAGGTTTATTATCTGTAATGAAACAGTTATATCTGTTTACAATAACCATGTCTCTTGTATTATTCAAGCTTTAATCTATAACTGATAACATGCCTGACACTAGAACCAAATGTGTGTTTTATTTGTATTGCAGAAAATTGAACTGGTAAAACATGTATTTTCCTTTAAATATTTCTTAATGCATTGAACACTGTTTCACATTGTACTTATTGGTGGTCCATATTGCTAAATGGGGAATGGTGTGTTTGTCAAAAATTTCAGATATTTTATACTTTATAAGATATATAGATATAAGTGTACTGGTTAAAATAATGGTAATCTTATGATTCCTTAAAGGCAATTTATGCTCTGGTGATCACGAAGAGACCATGTGCTGCAGTTGACAGTAGGTTTATAACTGTTAACCAACCATATAGTGTATGAAAAGAATATGTCTGGTGTGAAAGGAATTTCAGATTTCATTGAAGACTGACTATAAAATGTGATAGATAGTTTTTGTTAAAATCAATGTGTTTATTATGTTTCTACTTGTTATGTTTATCCTTAATGACTAAGTGCTATTTTCTGCATTAATTATAAACTTAACAATAACAAAAAATAAACAAAATGGAATATTGTTCAGATAACTACAATACAGTCATGGAAATTTTAACAAATTCATGCATATTTTGAAGGTTAACAATTTACTGTTATTTATCCAACTAATACAGCCAAAATATGTATAATCTGTGCAATTATCAACTGATTTGATGTCTATTTTGGACTAATTATCATTTCAAATATACTGAAATTGTTAATAATTTAAGTGCCTTTCTTTGTTATACAAAGCTTGATGCCAGAAGCCATTCATTATTGGATTCTGCTGTAATTGGCTAATCCAAAATGGTCAAATCATCATTGATGCATTGTTGTTATGAATAACAAAAAAAAAAAAATAGGTCACAAATTTTACTTTTAATTTTTAATTTTTACTGATGACTTTAAAGAGAACATCTCTCAACCTTTAAATTCTTTATACCCCTTCCTAAATAACCCCACATGATTATCTTATTAAGTTATTTATCAAAGATGTAATAAATTTGAAATATCATTTTATTTAATTTTTGCTTTCTATTTAACCTGTGCTTTATTTATTGTGTTGTATAACCAAATTAGCTGTTAGATGTCAAATATTTTGAATTTTGTAGGAAAATTACTTATTTTTGCATGTTTATTCTTTCTCTTCTTATAATTATATCAATATAATGAAATGATGGGCCTTAATCTTGTATATAAATTTAATTAAGCAACATTAGCTTTGAAACAGAATAGCTTAATATTAAAATAGATAGTAACAACTTTGAAGAATAAAATTTAATATTTTCCATTATTTTTTTGTAAACAACTGAATTTCCAGAAATTTGATTGGATTATAGCAGAAAAATTGTATCTAGTCAGAGTTCTGTTGAGGAAAAATGTCTTAAAGTGTTTGTAAAGAGGTGTTCTTGATTTCTGTCTGATTATTAGAATGGTGGAAAGAGATGCTATCCGTTTTCCTAATGCAAATAAAACAATTTAATAAAGCTTTCCCTATAACTATCCCTTTATGCAGAAAAGTAGGACATAAAACTCCATTTGCATTTCAACAATTCCTGTAATGAAAAGGGGAAATAATATAAATCAGTGCTTCCAGAATATATTTCAGTTTTCAACACCATTAGAATAGAAACATACTTCCTGTTAGATATTGGTAATGATAAAATCAATGTAAATATGTTTTATTCTAAACCAATCTAAGGATACTCTAATATTGCTGTGATTGTATATAATTTTATATTCTTTCAAGATAATGCAATAAAATTATTAGAAGCTAACTTATATTTGTTTATCTACTTGTGAAGTGCCAATATGGTCGTTCAGATAGGATTGGACAGTCGATCAAGCTGTGCACGTATTGGATATCTGAAAAATAAATGTAGTGGTGTTGTTATCCTTTTAATTTTTGAGAGGCCCTTCATTAATCTGACAGACAAACCATTTTATTTATTAAGTATCTCATTTTATACTTTTAAAGGATTACGGGTAATTTTACGTAGTAAATATTCCGTTCCCAGTTAAAAAAAAAAGCGTGTGGATATCGGGGTTTCCGGATTATCGGCAACCGGATAAACGCGACTCCACTGTATTTCGTAATTTGAATTTCTTACCCAATAGAAAAATCAATTGTCAAGACTGAGATTCAATAGTGTCATATGCTTCCAAGCTTGCAAGGCTCTCAAATTCTACATAATATATTTTAGGTTAAAAACGTATAAAAATCATATCTTATGTATAGACTATATTTGTTGGAAAAGAAGTGGAGGTAACATACAATTTTTCCAGGTTTGCATTTTGCGTGTGTTTCAGTAAATTGTACTTTTAAATGTACAAATAAATATTGTAACCATTAATAACAGCTCATACAGGAGTTCAAGAAGACTTTTCACATCATTTTATTTTTTCAGTGGTCCCATTTAGTTAAACTGATTTTGAAGCACCATAGTTAACTGACTTATTATTAGATCATTATAGAAGAATAAATATGTCAGATATGATTTTATTTCTGATGTTATCAGCACTACAGGACATCGTTAATACCATCTGCTTCTTAAACTATTACACAGTTGCCTAGAAATGCCGAAAATGGCTGAGAATGAAGATATAACTGCTAATATGTTCTTGGATAATAGTGCCAGAATTGAGAGAAGAAGATAAGGCTTCTTCCTGTTTTGATGTCTAAGTTGGCCACTTTCGTAACTTAATATTGAGAGATATCATTGCCGTTGAACCCACTCCCTGATAAGACAGTGGTCCAATATTCCTATGTTTCTTTATTAAGGCAAATAGAAAGTCTACCTCACTGGTCGCCGGCTGAATTGAATAGGTTTGTTTCATGAGTTGCACCCCTTAGCCGGAAAACGCCTCTTCCATTGAATACACACCAGCGGTGTTTTATTCTATATATAAAAATCGTGTTGTCAAAGCTGTCGTTGTTCAGTTTTTTTTTTTGTTTTTTTTGTTGTCATTTCAGCATTATTTGATACAAATTGTCATTTCAGCTGTCTTTATTTAATCATTGTAATGTCAGCGTTTTATTCTCATCACCAGTAAAATCGGGCAATCATACGCACATGGATAAAGCATGACATTCTCTAGCAACGACCATAGATAATAATGAATATTTTTGGTTAAGGCCAGTTAGCTGTTTGCAACATCCTAAATAAATATGAACGCTTCACCGTCGTTTTCTCGGTTGGACACATACAACCAACCGTTAAACGACAATATTATGGTAGCAATGATAATGGTAAACGGTTAATGAACGGATCTTTTGACATTAAGTATCCGTTAGTTGTTATCATAGTAGATTATAATGATGCTTATTAAAACTATAAAAAACTATTAGTTAACCATTAACACTGTTATAAATCTACACAATAAAAGATGTCGCTAACTTTTTATTGTAGGCTACTAATGATGCTTTACCCTTCTCGGCAATTGTTTCTAAAAGACTGACTAAGGGGCCTCATGTAGAAATGCCACCCGGCTTTCTATAGGCTGTCCAGACTAAGAGTCCCTTGGCAATTGGATAAAAAAAAAATAAAAAATTCCCTCAGTGCACCGTGCTTTGCATTGCCCATCTTCTTTAGACCACTCTGGAGCAGAAACGTAGGAGGTAAAAACTATGCTAATTGATTTATTGAAACCTGGGGGATCAACAAGCTTCTTTGATAACTCTTCTGTGTGGTAATTGTAGCTAGCAATTAAGATCATTATCATCGTTCAGTAACATATGATCACACTGATCTGATGCCTTTTTAGTACTCAATGTTCAATCTTTTAAATTCCACAACGACAAAAACCAAAACTCTTTAAATTTAAGCCATACATTGTTAAAAGGGTTGTTAAAAATAACCTCCCTTCAGACCTTCAGAGAATGTGGCCTTTTTTTTGAAAATGTTGGCAAATCTAACACCAGAGTGTTCTGGCTCTATAGGACCATGGTGTATCATGTACAGTATAGTTTTTATCTTATCTTATCGTATTGAAGTGGCCTTGCTAATCTAAGTCCACTTAAGTCAAGCTAATGGTCTTTAATAACAATAAACTGACAATTCGTACGTTATTTTTAACCTAGTTCAACCCTAGGCTACAGGTGTGCTAAGATTGATTAGTTTTTACAAGTAGATTATTTAGTACAATACATTAAGATTATTTCATAAAGTAACACTTATTTCAACTTTAAGAATTTTTTATTAACATAGTATTATATTTCAACACATTGAAATTGAAAACACCAGAAACAATTAATCAGCATTGACAATAACGGGGGACTATGTAGTCATAGAAGATTTTTTATCCAGCCAGATTTAACCATACGAAACCGTGTAAAGATGCTACGACCGTTTTGTAATACCATAGCGCAAGGTATGGACTTGGTTGTGGATCGCAGAAGTAGGTAAAGGGAGTACAATAGGAGTACAAAGTATTCTCTCACCCCTCGACTCACAATGGCACCACCACTTGCGACATCTCCATGCTCACCCGACCTTGCACTTGTTTCAAAAGGTTTATAAACCCGAGCCAACTTAATGTAATGTCGTCATAGTCTGTACGCTATCAGAATATGTTAAAAATGTTAATGGCGGGTAAAAATAATTAGTTAATGAGAGATTAACTGCAGGCTGCTTGTTGGTTTATTAGAAAATAAAGTAAGGTAGACCTATTATTTGGAACCTGCTGGTACACTTGATCTACGCAGATAAACTGTTTGTTACTTCATTGGAAGAATCTGATTATGTCCTAAAGCTTATTAATTGAAATGAAATGAAAGAGGCGTCGTGCTGAATACGCAAAGTGAAGGCCTTCTATGTCTTAACGAACATGTTAAAAAGGATTATGCAGAATTCCTTATCATTCCGTTATTTGGTCCGTATGTAATAAAAGCTTAAGGGATCTGTCCTAGTAAAATTAAATCCTCTGTTTACAGTATCCTTTAAACAACAACAATAACACCGGCCCATGGTTTATTGTCACAGCCAAACGGCTTTTCCATGTCAGTCCCTCCAATCTCAATTAGTCGTTAAATGAAAATTTTGCATTACAAGTTAGATTGAATAAAAAGGTATACTATCAATTAGAATAGAGATGGAATACATAATTAATATTGTTATTACAACCTATATAGTCTGAAACTAACTTCACTAAAAGAATATAGTTTGATTCAGCTTCTTGGGCAATTTTTGGCATGGCCAAAACGACAAAAATGATGTGACAGGTTCTTCGATAGTTTGACATTTAACAAAAACAAGACCTATTAGTTTATCCGAGTGTACACCGCATGATGTTACTCGTCTTTATTTGCTCAATTGGGAATAAACGTGAGTATGCTAAGGGACTCATCTCTATTTCAGAGATAGATGATTAAATAATAGCTTGGCACACACTTTACACGCCTAGAGACATCAACAGTACCTTTTGGTCGATTTGTTGGATAACACTGAATGTCGGATTTGATTTCTGATAAATGAATACATACATTCTGTATATTTTATTTGCTGTTGTAGGGAACATTTACATATATAGTGAGACTTATTTTAGCGCGAGGTATTAGAGCGTTTACTAACCGTGGTTGGTGTTTCGGGCTAATTACGGTCTTGCCTCTTTAACTGACATACAAGATAACATAACAAATCATCGCTACAATTTCATATTAATATTTCACGGTAAAAGGTGGTATCAAATATATATTGATTGAACAATAAGTGTAGTGGTGTATTAAACGGAGTACAATGTTGTGATTTACTCATTGTGAAGTTTTCTTTTACATCAGTGTCATTGTCAAAGAGTACTAAATCAGGAAGCGCTTTTGGGTAAGTTGTTCTTGTATTATACATCAAGTTCTTGAGATCATATGTTATCGTGGCTTGGCATATTGGTCCTCCAAGAATATCTGGTACCATCTTGCAACTGAATTTGTGATTTTTGGAAAAGTTCACAATATATTGTTGATTTGTATATGTATAAAGAACAACATCCAAAAACATCCATAAAAGAAATGCTAAGTGATTTGTCATTCACACTATATACTCGATCACATTTTTCGTTACGCCATTATAAGAATAGTTTCTTTGATAAAAAATACATTCATTTGAATGTTTGTAGCACAGCAGGAAAGATTCTGTGAAATGTCTGAGACTTATAAAAACTTTAATATATTATATAACTTGTAAAAGCAAAGTACATTATTGCTAAGGTTCTGTGTTTCTACTGAGACGTATACAAAAGTATGGGTTAGGTGGATTGGCGATCCAAAGAATCCAGCAACGGATCCATAGCAACACTTTCATAGCACAAAATTACACCTGGATGTTTCACGGATTGCCAAATACAAGATTCCAATATTTGCTTGACAATATAACATGAGAAACTGAAGCCACCTGCGATGTTTCAGTCGCCAGATAAATCCAGCGATTGATCACCTTTTCCTAGATGCCTACATCTGCTAGCTGTCCAAAATCTATCAGATTCCTTTCGGTGCCAAAAGAGACATGAAGCAATTTTTTCAATCGACGTTTTGACTCTTAGAACTGTAACCTGTTTGATTCTTCCAAGGGTGCCAGAATTTGTATCGATGAATTGATCGTTAGAACTGTAATCCGTTGAAGCTTTTAATTTGTTGTTCTGGTGGGTAGAGCACCAGGAGAAAGCTATCATGTTAAGAGGGTATGTGGAGAACAAGATTTTAGATTGACAACCTGCAACTAAGCACTATCCACCATTGCCCCTTCAGATAAATAACTTGCCCCTCCGAACAATTACGTCTGGCTGCGGGCCTGTGCCATTTTCTTTTCAATTATATAATTATATTATTATGTTATATCGAGATTTTCGTATAGTTGTTCCTGATTCATGACCTATTGTTAATACTTTTTAGTCTTAATATTGAAACCTAATTCCATTTTCAAACCAACTGTTCTGGCGGATTTTAAAACTGAAATACGCCTTTATAGCACTTGATGAGATATTTGAAAACAGTAGGTAAATATCAAAAATGCTCTATAAGCCAAGTATAACAGCTGAATGTATATAGTTATATCAGGTTTTTATTAGTCTATTTAGCTAGACGATACCGAGATGTATCTGAACCACATCAAACGTTCATTAAGACTGGAATTCAAATCAAAGTAATCACTTGTTATTTATAGAACTACCATTTCTCTGATTCCTGCAGTCAAAATCTCAGTCCGAAACTTATATTGAGATTGTTTTAGAGCGTATGATAGAAGTTAATGGCGGATGACAACAGTTTGACCGCACCAAATTTCTATGAAACTTTCTGGAATTGCTGGTGACTACCAATCTAACATCACTGAGGACTATTAAAGTTGCACTGCACGGTTTCGCGGATGACATCATTCGTGGTAGCATAGAACAAATCAAATGGATATAATTTTCGGAAATCTTTTTTTCTGGAAAACGTTCGTTGAAAGTTCAACATCAGTAGTGTTTTGGTTTACAAGAGTGACAAATAAACAAAATACGGCTGCAGTGGTAGGTAGGAAGTTGTTAATTAGGTTTATGTTCTTCTCGAAAATAATTGAAATTCTGGCTCTAGCTATCCCATACCAGATGTTTTTGAGCATAATATACGATGTTGATACTTTGGTTGGAAACAACATTTAAATGTCTTGTTTTTTCGGTCAGAGAAGATGAATGATATGTAAATATACGATAGTAATAGTGTTAAAGGTATATAACCTTATAAATACAGTATACACCTATCCAGATAGTAAACCTTCAGATCCAGGGCAAAATCTCTCACAACACAGCCAGAGGAACGGCCAGTTATGAACTTCCGGTAAATTTGTCGATATGAGCTCATCTGTTCTGTCGTCACATACGTACGTCAAATCTCATCTTGAGAAATTAAATTGGGACTGTTTGTCACAGCCTGTAAATTGTACCATTTGGATCACAAAACTTTGTCGATGTCAGCCTTTCAGATCTGCATCACTGAAAGGGGATATATCTCGACCCAGATAACACAGAAATTATAAAAGAATGTTGCTAGATAATATTCAAAAAATATTACAAGTACCATATCCCTTTGATTTCTGAAGAAACATCATCTGTATGATGCTTAAATAAACAGCTGGTCAAAGGGAAAACATACATGTGCATTATTCAGGTTAATACCTAAATCCGTTTGACCTCCCGAATGTCTTTACGCTGTTTTTGTGATTGTAGCTATCTAAAACATGTCAGTAATATAGTTGTGGGAGGTTAACAAGAACTAGTATACGATGTTGATACATTGGTTAAAATAACATTTCTTTCATTATTTTGTTTTTACGGTAAGACAACTACAATCATATACATAAACCATAGTAATAGAGTTAAAGGATAAACATGTATTCATTTATTCGCACCGGACAGATCCACAGCATGGGAGTGCATGGAACCATAATTAAATTGGAAGCCCATAAGATTTACAGGAGACCAACCGGAGTCATACGATTGATTGAAACAATGTTATTGTTGGTGCAGATGTTAATGGTAAAAGAAATAAAAACTGATACTAAAATCGATATGAAAATTTTCCTTATCACTACACGAAAGGCAGATACATCACTCTAGATGTCAAATTCGCTCTATCCAGTCTATATTGAACTCTTCATAACTACCGATAATACATTATTCTCATTCTTCATGTCTCACTATTAATAAATTTCCATAAACTCAAAGACAATGTGATAATCAGATTTTCTAACGTCTGTATGTCTAATAGTGACACAGATTGTTTTTGCGGTATTCACATTCTCAAATTGTTTTCCATGTGTCCAATTATTCCAGGAATGTTTTACCAGATTATGCCGTCATGATAACATCCAAGCCAATTGGTTTAAGAGATAGGACGTCATCATCTGGTCAATCTATTACGTTCCTTGAATTACAGAAACCACTCTGGTCAAATAGGAATGAAAATGGTTTCATTAGACACTCTTTACAGCAGGGGTAATACTAAACAAATTTGTATGGTCATATTTCAGTTTTAGATAATCAAAATTGCTAAGTAAATAGACATGATTGCGAATGCCAAGCAACCGCGACATCTGTCGCCGACTTAATGGACTTGCACGTTTAAGAATTGGTATCATGTTTTGATAAAACAAGGTCTGGTGACCTTGAATAGATACTCCGGGAAAGATCAATGTCAAGAGATGTAGTCAAGGTAAAGCGGACAGGAAGGTTTCTTGTGAACATAAGTTGTTATCCTTGTAAAAAAAATATTTTGTATTTATTACCGGTTGGCAATAAACCACAATGTAATAGCATTGTAAATCGATGCTTAATTATTTTATGTAACTTACGTAACGTTTCAACCATACTAAATAGCACACGTTAGTCTACTATGCTGCTGTGATATATAGCTACCCAGGGTTCAAGCGTTCAAATTAGTGAGTCTCCGCGACTCCTACAAAATCAGTAATTCCATGTATAATACATGTATATCGATTATTATTAGTTTTAAGGCAAAGTAAATTAACTATATTATAAGTGATAAATTATGAATTTTGGTAGGTGTTTCGGATTGTAGCATACATTATTACATGTATTATTTAATGAGTATATTGTCATTGACATTTTTTTGGTCACATTCTATCATAATAACATTTAATATTAGTAGGGCATTTCATTTCCGGTTAATGTACTGCAGCCACCCAGTTCAGAGATCAACAAGCGACCATAGATGACTACGTGCTTGTTTAACCAACCACATGGCCTTCAGCTTCAGATGATCTAACCAATTTGAACTATTGAAAAACGTAACGGGTACATGGAATGTCATTCTTTCAAAGGGTATCTTCAGGGTCTAAATTCCTAGTTTAATAACGTTTATATTACGTATTGCGTTTCTTTCATGGTAATTGTCCTAGTTTTCTCCTGTGTAACTAAATGCTGATTGAGGTTTCAGAAAAAGACTAGAAAATACTTCATTTTGTTATACTCATTGTTGAAGTCACCAAGAGAAATGCTGTGATAAGACCATTAGTCTCGGTAATTAAAGATGGAACAAAGCAATTAACATTTCTGAAATTACCTTTTATCATTGTGTTAAGTCACGTCAAAAAAGTCTTTTAGTACTAAGAAGTAATCTCGGTCTAGAAATACGATTTACTTCTGTTTCTGTCAAATCGACATCTTTTATATAGTTAATTACGATTGTACGGTAATGTTACAACATTCATTAGAATAGGTTAATACAAATTGCTCGAAATCAGAAACATTTCTGAAATTACCTATTATCATTGTGTAAGTCATGTCAAAGAATTTTTCAATACCAATTTTCATGAGAAATAAACCTTACTTCCATAAGTTAAACCAGTGCTGGTATTCAATGAACATAAATAGCATATTCTAGAAATATTTTCACGTATGATTTTAATAATGAAAATTTTGCGTATCGCTCCTTTAAAATAGGCCTAATACTCGTTATTGTCTGTAAATTAGTTTTTTGTTTATATATAATATGATTTAAAAAACGGGTAACACAGACAGGTGATTATTCAAAGAAACATATATTATGTCTTATAATAATAATTTGACAGTGACAGATACTGACGCTTGTTTTATAGAAGCTGCAGAGTATCACAGTAGCCTTGTAGGCTGTAAGGAAAATGTAGTGATTATTTAAAACTCAACAAGATCTCCATTATACAAGAGCACCTATCTTATACCTATACGACATTATTAGGCACTTTTCTTGTATATATTTATCTATAAATGAAGTCCATTTACTTTATTCGAAACGAAAGCAGTCATAGTGTTAAAGCTTTTCTCTCGAGGACTCTGATTGGATGTATTCGCAATCCAATCGAATCGCAAACTTCTATAATACATGAAAAGTGCCTATTGATGTTCAAGTATTAGACCTTGACATTGTGAAGATGTAACAACAGAGACCATCTTACAAAGCCTAAATAATACCGGTCAGCAGTTAATTTCCGGCGAGTTAAACCATAACTGTTCCAGACTCCAATTTATTCTAAAACCTTGCCAATTCCAGCCACGTCATTATCTCCATTTTGATTTATAAATAACTCGTTATGATGATGACATTAGGAGAGAACTAAACTAGCAATTTACCATCCGACAATAAATACTTGCGAGGTTTATATCTGATGTATTGAACTCTATACAGAATACATTTTGTTCAAAGTAGTAATATGATATACTATACTAATCAACAGATTTTTACGACTTGATTTTATTGATACCCCGATTCCTCAAATCAACATTTCTAATATCGGAAAGCTGTCTTCAATCCTGAATAAATTCATTGTGAGATTTTTCTATAAGTCATAATCTTAAGGAAATGTTGACCGATTTTTAAATATCTAGATTCTTATTTTGACAAACATTTTAATGATTGATATATATAGATTGTTTGTTGGTTCAATAATTGACAGTGTGTATATTTTGACTTCGACAGAGAATAGCGAACAAAGATTTTCACGCTATATTATTATAATGCTGATCAAAAGTACGTTATAAATTTGATGCAGTAAAGCTTGCTCGACAAGGTATGTGACCACATAAAAATTTCCAATGACAAGCGGTTCTTGTGCTTGCAACAATAAATTCGAGCTCGTTTCAGTTGAAAAAGAAAGATGAGAGTACATGTTTTGTGTATCTCTATTGTAAATCGTTTTTATTTCAGGTATATTATTTTAGTGTGGATGTAACCATGAACTTAACAGATCCTTACAACCAACTGTTAAATACTACTTTAGAAGAGTACGAAAACGTTACCGATACGTCTGCGAACCAACATTATGTCGGATTCTGGATTACAAGAGTCATCATCAATGGAATATTTGGAATCATTCTGGAACTGTTTGGAATTATAGGAAATATCTTGTCAATAGTGGTATTAGTTCATTACAAACAAAAATCATCAACACCATTGTTACTTATGTTCTTGGCTGTGTTCGATTCCATTTACCTATTTTCAGAAATGTTTCTGGAACAATGGACGTTGTTAAGTAAAGCGCTGTTGATCAGTCCTGGTTACAGAACATTTATAGCACCCATATACATTGTGTCATTCCCTATATCCAAAATAGCCTTCACTGGAACAACGGTCATGACCTTGCTGATAACATTGGAGCGATTCATTGCAGTAGTTCATCCTCTCAGAGCTTCCAGGTTGTGTAACAAATCCGTTGCTTGGAAAGCAATATGTGTTGTGTTCCTTTGGGCCATCTTTTTCAATCTTCCAAGATGTCTGTCGTATACGTCAGATTATCAATGGAAAAATGAAACGAACACGACCAAATTAGCTATGGTTCGAACTGAATTGGGAAATAGTTGGTTTTACAATGACGTTTATCACGCGTGGATTATAGTGATTTTTGAATTTATACTTCCGTTTGTGGTGATAGCCATTTTAAATGTACAGGTATTGGCTTCTGTTCGAAAAAGTCGGGAATTAGCTACACAGCAGAATAAGAGTTCGAAAAAGCGCGAAGGTCGTCTGACTGCAATGGTGTTTACTGTAACAACTCTGTTTTTCGTTTGTGGTCTTTTCTATTCTACTGCCCAGATCTTAGTGAGACGAGTTGATAAATATAACGAAATTTCCGCAGCTCTAAATAATTATGTAGCAATCGCCGATACCTTAATGATTCTCAACTGTTCCATAAATTTTATACTCTATTGTGTTGTGGGACGAAAATTTCGCAGTATATTTGTAAGTTTGTTTTGTCGTCGGCACAGGAAAGAGAATTGCTACACCATTAAAACCACTAACCATACCAAAAGCACCTCCTATACAGACAGTGACGATAGAGAGCTACACGCTTTTAAGAAAAGGGCATACGAATGAAAAGTGAACCAGAAACCGAAACCAGATTGTTGTTCCATTAATATATTAGATTATGTCAATTTGTTACAATATTGTTATTATTAATTCAGTATTCATGGTCATTAATAACATGGTACTAGACTTTCATGTTGTACCTACCATACATTCTTTACAAATAGTTAGAGTTGCAAATGATCCAATCATCAAGCTTCGAGAACTATGACCCAATTTTAGTTAAAGCCAGTCAGTTAAAAGGCAATAAATCTTTTAATTTCTGAGAAAAATGTACAATTACATTCTTATTATTACTTTGTTTGTCATTCTAAATACCACAATCAACATGAGCTTTATGGTTTCCAATTACTCCTCTTACAGTAGCAGATTTGTTTCTGATCTTGAGGGCAAGAAAGGATGCGCATTATATTCCAAATTATACGGTAGACGTGAAACTAACAGAAATGGTTAATTGTCTATCTGATATTCAGATATTTGGGGATAAAGTTATCGAATTGACATCGAACCAGCGTTTCCTACACTGTAGACTACTTAGAAACAAGACAATAGTTTGTAAATCAACCATTTTTATTATTCAGAAAAACTGTGTGTTGTGTGAAGAGGAACACAAATGAATTACAATGACTTGACAGTATATAGTATATTATATATATAGTACATTATGGATATACAATGCTTCAACTTTCATTCTCCAATTCAAAATATAATACAAAATATAACAGATCTCAAAATTAACAGAAAATAACAATATGAAAAGGTATAAGTAGGTTTTTATGTCATTTGTTATTCAGGTTTTGTAATTCTATGGCGGTTCAACTTGTTATTTTATGACATAATAAAAGGTTTTATGGTTCGATTATTGAAGATTTAAATACAGAATAAACAATTCTACCTAAAGTACATAACAAAAAAAAATCCATCTCAATAAGTTTGTCTTTATGTTCTTAAAATTACCAATAAAATTTGTATAAGGTCATGAACAAACCTTCAGTGATGTATCACAGTTAACTGGTTACTGTTGGGGAAAGGTTAATAATGATTTGAAATAATAAGAATAATATGTGAAAAGAAATAAGAATAATAAAAAAAATAATAATTACTGAAAAAAAAAATGTTTTCACTACAAATTTTTACATTTCTATTGCTATGACTACCAAATATTGCTAAATTTACACTTTACATTTTGTCCACTATATTTCAAATTAAGATTTTAAAATGAAGAAAGCATAGCTCTATAGCTCTAACAACAAATGATGTCTTGCTACAAATTTCACAATGCAGAAACTAAAGCTTCAACTAATTTGAAATATAGTGAACATTATATTATTAACAGTAAGTCGTTTTGTCCTTTGGCACATGTGTTGAGTGAACTCTTTATTTTGCTTCACAGGCACATGAAAATTTGGAATTTACAGAATAAATTCCAAGCTACAAATGCCTGTGATTTTACCCTTATTTGGCTAGAATGAGCCGATTATTATTAATGTGTTGCTAAGCAACAGTTTCTACAACTAATGTGACCATTAACATAACAATTTGGCAGGAAAAATACACAACTGCATAAAAATCAGACTCATTCCAACCAAGTTTTAAATATAGACTACAAACTACAATTAAATATTTTGGGTTCTGGCACTTTTCACTTGGCCTTGGTTTCTGATATGCATTTTAATTTTTTCAATCATTCAAGTCAGATCATGCAACAAATTACAAAAAGAGAGTTGATTGGTTAAAAATTAACCAATCAGATATATACTTAAAATAACCAATCAAAAGATATCTTTGATCAATGGTTGATTTAATTCAATTTCTTCATTTAATAGAATTGAAAAATTTGAATTTAAAATAGAAAATAAAAGACCAATAAAGACACATAAAGAATTTAAAACAAAAAAAGTTGAAAAAGTGGTCATAAAATAATGAGATCATGAACAGTTTTCGTTAGTTTGAACTATAGATTAATTTTTTCTACTCTTATAATTTATTGCTTATAAAATACATCATTTTCACATTTCATGCATCATTTTAATTGGAATTTGTCTAATAACTACTTGTTATAAAATATGTATAAAATTAAAAATAGATTTAATTCCATGATGTTAATTGATATTTCACAACAATAATCATTTTGAATCTAGACCAAAATTTCTAAACTACTTCAAAGATGTCTCTAATTTAAAATTCAAGATTTTCATAATTCCAGCTGAAATCAAATCATGCCTAAAATTTACTAATTTTCTGAAACTGTTTGAATTTTTCATTGTAAAATTGGTTTTTCTTATCTGTAAGAAGGTAAATATTTAAATATTGTTCATCTGTTTCTATTTTTCCATCAATCTAACATTAAGCATATATTTTGATAAATTTTACTCGAAATATTTCATCAAAAACAAAAATCAAAACAATATAAATTAAATCAATATAATTCTATTTGACTTGTTTAGTTTGAAATTATGAAAATCTAACTCTTAACTTTTTCACTGAGCCAATGAGGGAAATTTATTTAAGGATAAATTTAGCATTTTCAACTTCTACAACAGGGAAAAATCTAATTCAACTACATAATTCAAATTTCCTGAGGGAATGAAATAAAACATGAGGTGCCACTTTCATTTAATACCTAGTTATGCTTAACACATGTTCAAATAATTACTTTTTTAGCGTAATTTGTTCGTTTAGTAGGCAAGACAGAAAATATGTCATGTTTTCAAATAATTCATTAACAACCATATCTTGATATGCGTAAGCTTTGAAATTATGGAAAATGTCAGGAACTGAAGTTGGCACCGTCTCAAAGAAAACTGAAGGTATATCACAAAAGGTTGAAGAGTAAAATTGTGTTTTGTTATTTTTTAGACTAAATGGGTAAGTGTATATACAGAAACTGTGCAAATATTAACCACTAATATAGAAGAACACCAGAAAGGGGTGGGGCCATTTTTAAAGGGAGACAAATGTACAATATATATAAAATTTGTATGTATTATATAAGTATATATATATATAAAACGAAGAATAACAGTCACCAAAATGTGGTTAACAATGTAACATACAATAATATAAGGTATATAATGAATATACAAAGATGTGAACATTTGTAGAATATAAGTAGATATAATGTATATTTGTAAAATGTCATGTAACTCTTGTATACTGAATATTACAATGTAATATAGCAGTCTGAGACATACACTACAGTAAACTTTCCCCATAATGAATTCAAAATCAACTTTGTCACCAACCTACAGTCTATGTTAATGTTAGCATTTAATGAGATTCTTTAATTCTACCCTTCATTTCAAATGACATTCTAACGCTGGAAGATAATTACAGAATGAAAACTAACCGATTCATTTTCTAAAGCAGCAATCTACCAAATTACAAAATCAAATTTATAAATTTTTGGCTTTGGTGAAGAATACACATTAATGTAACAATATTATAATATATTTACTTAAAAGAGGTATCATTTTTGTCAATTTTCAGAAGATACATATTATATAGAAATACAACCATATATATATATATATATATATATATATATAGAAATATTAACATTATTATTTACAGTATAATATATTGCTTTTAATTTGTTAAAAATGTTGAATTTTGTTCTCTTGCTGCGATTTAAAAATTATTTCTGAATTTAAATGGACAATTATTGCAAATTTCACAAGAACACTTCATTGTAAAATTCGGTTTTATATTTTCTTCAAATGTCATGGAAAGGTTGTAGGTTTACCTCTTATTATTGCTATGATTATTTTTCTTTAAAAATTGCTGATCAAACAAATGTTAATAAAAATGAAAATTCTGAAATATTTAAGATAAATTCATTAAGAATTGTAAAATTGTAAATGTAAGCAAATGGTTTCTTTAAGCAAAACAAAACAAAACAAATAAGTTTCAAAACAATAGTCATGAACACAAAGAGAAACAGCAATTAAAAAAGTTGTAAAATTATGTACAAAAACAATGTGGTTAAAACAAATAGTTTGGAATAAAAATGTAACAATGGACAAAAAATATTTGTTCATTCGTCATAAAATTTCAAGACAAAAACAACACAAAAATTTGGACGTATAGCTCCATATAGAACATGGACAGTAAAGAAAAATTAAACTTAAGCAACAAAGAAAACATGTCAAATTTCACAACATTAAAAAGACATATTCATGTATAATATGTAGAATTTCTATGTACAAAAAATGGGTCACAAGACACAGCACAATATAACAAGGGGAATAGCCCCAAACAGCACATCAAATGGGAGGTAACTCCAGACGATTATTTTGCATGTTGAACTGGGTTATCTTCCTTGAGACAAAATGGATCCCCCATAATAATAATATTTGCAGCGACCAACAGCAGCTTTAAATTCCCTGTCTCTTTTAAAAATTTCTCCCAGTTAAAATAGATCCACTTAATTGCTGAAATGAGAAAAAAAACAAATAGATAAATAATTAAGAATAAGAAGTACTAAACTCTAATTTTTGTTAAAGTGATCCTTAAATTTTGTTCAAAAAATTACCAGTAATAATGAGTTCAATTTGCGATACATTTAGCACATGAGAAAGCAATGTTAAGACTATTCCTTGTAGGCCTAATCAGGCATCAAATATCAATACAAGTTAACATAAATATATATAATTGTACTGTATCAAGCTGAAAAAAAGAAGTTGAAAGAAACATCTAAAGAATAAGGACAGATCATGCAGAAAAAAGAGAGGTTTATGATAAGTTTAACCATATCATTAGTATCAGAATATTATATCTAGACCTATACAGGTACATTTACTTGAAGTTATGAAACATACTACCTTAGAGAGTACATCTACAGACATAATCATTCTTTTCTATTTTGTATTACTACATTGCATGTGCAAATGTCAAATGTTCATTTTGCTTTTAAGGATAATAGCAAAATGTAGCAAACAACTTGTTGCCACTTTATAACAAAGAATATCAAAAATTTTTGAAATAAAAATTCAGAGCATAATTTGAACATTTGACAAAATTGCCATACTGTAAATCAAGAAGAGCAACATCTATACAGTTTCATAATGTATCTTTATAACAATAGTAAATCACAGAGTATCTTAATGCACATATATTCTGGACACACATGGATTTGGAGGCTCAAAATTGACAGTGAGTTGTGAACACTATTACTGATATGCTCAGCTAAATAATTCCAGTTACTGAGACTAAAGTAGGATTGGTTAAAACACTACCGGTCCCTTTATAATGAATCAGTGTCCTGTGCTAGTTTCTTGATTTATAGTAAATTTATCATGCTGTACTAGTGTTTTATCTAGTGTTCTAGTGTTTATGTAGTGTTAATCTACAGCTGATTAGTCTAATCTGGTTAGTGAATTGACTAGAACTACTTAATACCTTTAAATCCTCTATCTAAGTCTCTTTCAATCAATGATATCCATTCTGAAAACTTGTAGCTATCAATGGGGCCTGTTGGGGAAAATAGTTTAAAAATTACCACATTGAAATTGATATAAATAGTAAAACTCAGAATCTCTATCCTTCATACCAGCCCCTGCTTTTCTAGGGAAGCATGTGATGACTAGAAAAAGATTCCTTTCCCAAAATATAAAAAAAAATCACCAACAAACACCAGGTGTCACCAAACCAAGACAAAATACAACAAATTATAGAAAAATTTGATACTGAATTGGGTTATTTTGTTAAAAAAGCTTTAGTATATCAATAATTTTGCCCAATTCAATATCTTAAGTCTTTAAAGCATAAAAGGGAAAAACTGTTTACCACCAAAAATGTTTTATAAAAAAGCAAAAGTGTCAAAATTAACATACAAGACCTACCCTGCCGAGAAGGTTTGGAGCAAAGCCTGCAGGTTGAGGACTTGTAGCCTGAACATATCCATATCCTTCCTGTGCTGCTGCATAGAGATCTAAAGGACCAGGACTACCAGCTCCTGGATAGCCTCGTGGTGATGTAGCTGTAGTAAATGTTGGCTGACCAGCAAAATTACTCATCATAGCTGCTGCAGCTGCTGCTAAAGTGAAAAGTTCTTTTCTTACTTTGGTCAAATAAATATCAACAGAACGGTCACCTTTATCCTCAATTTAATGAAAACAAGTTTTAGCTGTATGAAGCCAGGCACTCAAATGACTAGAAAATGTATGGTGTATACTAAGAGTCAGCTCTCCTCCAGTTTTTTAGGTTTGGACTTCAACAGAATTCATTCAAATATACAAAGTGAGAATTCTGATTGGTTCTGATTTGGGGTCAAATAGTTTGAAACTTACCGAATCCAGCATTCCTCTGAAGAGACTCTCGTTGTAACGGAGAAGTACTTATTGGTAATGGAGATGTTTCACTTCTTTGAATTTGTGCAGCGGCTAATGCAGCTTGATTAGCAGAATTGATATCAGCATATATAGCAGGGGAAGTAGTTCTATCAGCAGCTCCTCCAGGAACTGACAGGTAACTTATACCAGGGAAGCCTAGACAAAGATACAAGAAGCTCAAAATTAATTTCAAAATTTCAAATATCTTATTTTTGCAATAACACATTTCATTCATAAATATCTCGGAAAATATTTGTTCAAATTACAGAACAGTGACGTAATTCTCCATATCATATCATTTTAGAAATAAATTCAACATATAACACATTATTCAATATACGCTATGCCATGATCTGCCACTATGAAAATGATTTATTTTTAAAAATTTGAGCATAGATTATTACTTAACAGAGCTTCAATTATCATTAAAATGTGGCTTCCCTGGTCATGAATGTTCCCTTGTCCACACACATTGACTACTCTATGTACTACACTGGTACTAACTAATATATATATATATATATACATCAACGGTCCAAGAGGACACTTACACAAATTGTGCTCAAATTTAACAGCACAGCAAGTAAAAACATGCAGAAAAACCAAAAATCTCATTGAATTTTCAAAAATAGGAAAATCTACAAAATGGATCATTTCCAAAATGCTGTGTGCTACCACTACATTACGACCAAGATCTATTTATAGTATCATACGGAGAAAATAATAACTACGATTCAATAGAAGGGTTGAAAGTTTGGGGAATAAAGCAGTAGTAACAGTTATAACTAAGGCAGTTTCTGGAACATGCAGTTCTAATTCTAGACTACAATAAGCTGTATATATATAATATTGTGAGAGTCTTAGTGTGCGTGGGCAATGGCAACATGCATCAAACCAGGGCGCCATTTTGTATCACATGATCACAATTCAACCAATGAGTTAAAAGCTACAAAAGTTATGACTTTAAGCATTGGATATGTTAATAAATGAATGATGAAAATTAAAATACGGCTTCACATGAAATTTGTCCAAAATACACTGAATGTATGTTGTAGAAGCCATATTTGAAATAATGTTCTTTAAAATGCATCATTAATTAACATCCATAACAAATGGCAAAAAAAAAATAATAAACATAGTCAAACATTAAACATCTTTCAACATTCATTTTTCACTCTAAAAGAATAATAAAGAGGCCTAAATGAAATAGATGGACTAATTGGAAAGATTACATTTTGATAAAAAGCAGCAATGTTTCACCCATACAGGTTTATCAAATCATGCTGCAGTTTAAAAGAGGGAAACAGTTTACTAGCTTTATCAACTTTTAATATATATATCATTCTATAAAACAGAGCTGTTTTAGCATGACATTTCACCACTATTTTTATACTAGTAGTTCTTATCTAGGATGTACGTAAATACTAGTAGTTCTTATCTAGGATGTATGTAAATACTAGTAGTTCTAGGATGTACGTAAATACTAGTAGTTCTAGGATGTACGTAAATACTAGTAGTTCTAGGATGTATGTAAAAACTAGTAGTTCTAGGATGTACGAATATCATGCACATGATGATTAATTTGGTAAAATTGTTTTATTTTTTGCTGAATGACATATATTTTTGATATATTTTTAAATTAACCACTTAGTAAAAAAATGTTTGAATTCTAAATTATCTTTTTAAAATTTCTTTTAAGGCACAAGAAATACAGGGATAAAGCCATCACAAAGGGTCCCCTGCTCAATTTTAGTCCTAGCTAGACAAGTGTGGTAAACAATGTCAAACAACAGCCCTGTTCTAATCATGATACTACTGTATTAGTAGACATAAAATATATTGCTGATATACATACATTACATTTATATATAATGACACAGCGACACAAAGTTAGTTACAACCTTGACGTCTGAGTTAAAACATTGCTACTTTTTGAAACCTGACAAAATAAATGCTTAAATTGAATAGAAATGCCAAGAGTGATTCTATACCATTGTAGCTAGAGACTAAATTTCATAGATGATAGAACAATTACATAACAAACATGAAATCGGTAAGACAAATTAAGAATTAAAATCGCATCACTCAAAATTACTATCCTTTCTGAAGGTATAATTGTCCAGGTAAATGAATAGAATTTATAAATGGCATTGTCTTTTAATTGCAGGCAGATTATTTTGTCATTTTTCTGGCATTAAATGTAATTTGGCACTACTTTAAATATGTACAGCCCACCAAGTGTCAAATTAAGTTAAAGGACAAGACCACAATGAAGTATTCTGTACTGAAATTCTATTTTTAAGACTTAAGTTAATTTGACCTTCAAAGGGTCACTTCAAATACCTTAACACTTGAATATTTCATTGTGGTCTGGAATATCAATATATATGTGCACAACCTAAATTGGTCAAAAAATGTAAAAGACAAACTAAGCATAACAAATGTTATAAATAGATACACTTCAATACCAACAAGCAGCACACAATCTCAAAATCATAGTCACACATACTGCAGCATTCAGGTTGATCTCCAGCTTCATCATCACCATCTTCGGCTTCTTTACTGCTGAACACTTATAAACAGTTCAAGCTGTTCATCTTGCATATAAGACATTTCATGGCTGATATTCACATTTTCATTGCATCCAATCAGCTTAAAATTCCTTTATTGAAATTCCACACAAAAGCTTAAACTATGAGCTTAGTTAGATTCTTTGGTGTAGAAAGAGATAGAAAAAGACAGAGATAGCCAATGAAAATGTTTTATTCAAAAGTCATTCAGTCCAGCATAGTGAATAAGCAAAATAGGTTCATAATGAGAACCTATGAACCAATGAAATATGGTAATTTTCTCAAGGACATGACCAATATCATTCAATCAGAGATGAACACAAATTTGATTCCTGGCAGTGAAGAAATCTTTGGGAACAAAATATTGCAGAACTGGAGTTATGGAATAAACAGACAACATGACCAGCATGTACAGGAATATCTACTGGTACTACAGACTTGCTTCCAGAGTAATGGTGCTAATGTTTTTGAAAGGAATTTTTATTCCTATAGTATTTGACTAGAATACTATACCATTTCAGGTTTAAAAGAAAATTTGTCAAATAATATTGGTCCTATCCTTATAAATTGTCACATGACTACAAAATTTCATACAGTTTTTGATGATATTTTTGACTATATTTTGACTACATTTAATGCTATGGGGGAATAGAAAAATTAAGAAATTGACAAGTTTTGGAAAATATTTTGTGTTATGATTTCAAAATTTGGTATCATTGTAGTGTATCTTTACATATTATTTAGCCTGCTTGATTTTTCTGTATTTGTAGATTTCCATCTGCAAATTCATTTTCCTTGCTTTGCATTCATAGTGTTTACTTAGCAAATTCATTCCTGATTCCACTTTCAAAACAGAATATTTTTCATTTTCAGACTTGTCAAAACTTAATTTCTCTTCGTAAAGTCTAAATTTACAACATAATATTTAAATAGGGAATAATTTAAAATGACTGAAAAACAAATAGCACTTTTAAAGAATTTTCAAATATCACTTGAAAAGACACAGTATATTGCTTAAATACACTTATAAATATTAAAGTCTAGCTTCTATTGTGGAGGTATCTAAATCTAAGGAAATTGCACTTACACTTCTAGAATTGTACCAGTAAGTGTAATTCACTTTGTCATTGATCAATTTAAGTGCCAATTCAAGCTTGTTGCTTTGAAGCATGCCACAATTTGTTTTGAATCTAAAGCAAAGATTGAAAATATTTTGTAATCACTTCTTCCTTCTGAACACTTTCATAAAATTTTCTGCAAATTTTTTTTTTCAATTCTAAACATATCATTAATTGAATCAAAATTTTTTCATTTCAATGGCAGAGTGAATTGCACTTTAACCTAAAGATCATTTGAGGCATGACAAATCTAGTTTGACATATTTTAGCAATGATCTAAATCTATTTTTCAAATTAACTCTATGTTTCACATCATTGACTATCATTGTCCTAAATAAACTGATGATTTCCATATCTTTCAAATCACATCAAGGGAATGTTTGGGAAAATGTTTTGTTCAAAATGTGAGAAGAAATTGAAATGAGTTGTTTTTAAAAATAGTAATTTCTTAAAAGTGACGTAAAAAAGGTATATATTTGATTTTGCATCATTTTGATTTTTAAGCAAGACTTTAATATTATACAGAATTTTTTTTTATAAATAATTTATTTCCAGAATTAAATCCTAATTTCATGAATTTCAACATAAGAAAAAAAATTTTTTTTTTCAAATTTCATGAATTTATGATATAATTTTCATTCAATTTTGGGGAATTTTTTTTGTCAGATTTTTATAAACACAACAAGACAACAATTATAATGTGATTTTAAAAACACATCTTATATACAAACAAGGAATAAATATTACAATTTCAAAACCAAGGGGTCCTGTTTATAGTTACATAGAAATCCTTACTGTCATAATATCATAGCTTTACGATAATTTTACCCAGACAATCAAGAATTACGATTTGTTGATCTCATTTCTGTTTTTATATCATACAATCAGATTTTATTTGATACACAGGTGACAAGATATCAAATTATTTATTAAGAAGCCGCAGACGCCTTCATTTTGAACTTGTAATTAGGGTAGATAGAAATAATTTTTTTAAAAATCGCGATAATTTTTCTCGACAAAGGTTAAATAATTAAAGTACAATTTTAAAAATAATTCTCCTGCTAGTAATATTTAGAATTGAGGAACCCTGAAAGACTGGCACAGGCAGAAAACAGAGGTATGGTGGTGACTCAACAATCATGATAGAAAATCAAAACAGAGTTATCTCCTCTTGCAATCAAGAGGGAATAACTCTCAATAATTTCATGAAAAATACTGAGTTTGGCCATTGGATAATACCAATGACTTAATTATGGCTTTAACAATTACATACTAAGCTATGACACTTGAAGCTAGCTAGCATGACAATTTAACTAAGCAAAGAATCTTTAGATATAAACTTTAAGGAGAAAATAGAAGACAAAAATATCCCTTTTAAGTCCCTTTGAAAAGGATGCATAGCTGGTTGTAAGGAAAATACAAATAATATTGAATCAATGACTTTGGCTATGCGTTGCAGCACCAATAACGCTTATTGCTATGGCGGTAAGTGGACATACAAAATTGAAAATATAACAAAGTGACCCGTTTTATGGTCAACTGTACCATACAATGATGATAAAAACATATTTAGAATATCAAACAGGCTTATATAACAGATATATATGGAAGTGAAAACACAAAAAAGAAAACTTGAACACGCAGGGAATGCCATATGTAAACTTCCAGTTGAAACTCAATTGCCCTTTACCACCCACGACTGAAAGTGGACTCAACTGCACAATAAAATGCAAACATTATTCGGAGAGTCCACTTAAAATCAAGGGTGTATAAGTAGCAAATCTGGGTTATGTCTTGGTCACAGCATACCATTATAAATACACACACACTATTTCAAACCCTAAACTGATTGACTAACCAGAAAACTTCCTTGCTCTAGCCCCTATAATGATATAGTGGTAAAAAATAGGGGCTCATGAAATTTCGATGTTTATTAATCCTGCCTTCTCACTACTGACTACCACAACTAAGAAACATTACAATAAGCATTTCAGTTATTTTGGAGCTCCATTTTTAGCGATTCCTGTGTTGAAGTTCTGACATGGTTTGTAGGCCTAAGACATGTCTTGAACCTTATCAGTCATGTTACTACATTCAAACTGTAACTGAACCTTTTCAGCTTTAAATTAAATGTTTCACCCAATCAATTTATTTGCTTAAAACATTAAATGCATGTTCTGATAAGTATTGCACTATGTAAAATCATGAAATGTTTCTATCATTATAACTAAGAAATGGTCGAGAGCCTAAGATGAGCCATAAATCAGGGCTTGAGCAAGAAAGACCTTAAGAAAGAAGATACTAAAAGCAGAAAGTCTAAATATAATAGCGTTCTATGGCACAACATATTCACATTATGGTGATAATAATATAATAATTAATAATTAATAATAATATTATATTTATATATAATATATGTACAGAGTATTTGACAAAAATTTTTTAAAATGAATGTAAAAACACTGGATTTTGGTAGCAATTGATTAAAAATATCATAAAATATGATAAAATAAAATTCACAAAATAGCAATTCAAATCCCAAAATATTCATGCATACATCAGTTATCTATAAAATGGGAGATAACTGTGCTTAAAATGATGAAAGGTAAAGAGTTATCTTTCTTGATGTATTGCAATGAAATAAAAAAAAATTCAGGTAAACACAACCAAATTAAAAAATCTTCAATTACGTCATAAAACCCAATCAAAAGCTACCAAAATATCCAAATAATGACACAAAAATACAAATTTGACAAAAAATCTGAAAAAAGGTGTTTTGGCACGAATTGAAAGACACATATCTGTGCCACATAAAACAGCTTGCCCAACATGTTCAAAACATAAGGTGCACATTTCAAAAAATAAAACCACTTAGTCTGGTATTTGGTGGGAATTTCATGTCAGCTGCTATCAACATGCTTTTATTATTTGCCATTTGATTTAAAATATATTTACAAATGCCATCATTATTAACAGATCAAAACAAGATTTTGAAAATACCTGCAAATGTATTTTGAAAATTTTCAAAAACCTCAGAATTCAAATAAAGTCATGAAATTTTCTCATAAAAAAACATTCAAATTTCAATGCAGAAAATTTTTTGCAAGTCTTCGATTTGAATAAATTTGATTGAAATGTTGACCAAACTGACGTATGAAGAAATCCCCAGAACCCAGAATCTCGTTGCCTTGTCGTCATGTAGTACATTGTTAAAAACACTGATATGTCAGTTCAAGTTGCATATGAAATGAATCATAACGCCACCTTCTCCGAATAAAAAAGAAACTATCCTAGAACCCAAGTGGTGTATCAGGATACCATGAGGCTAAATGAAGTAACTCCATACCTGGATAATAGTAGCCAGCTGGGCTGAAGGCTGGGATCCCTCGGCCATACGCAGCAAAACCAGGAATGCTGGGTAAATAGCCTGAAATATACCATCCCAAAAACATAAAAATCTGAAAGACTACAGAATTATTAAGCTAAATGATTTCTACAAACAATTTATCTTATATCACCTATATAAGCAACAAAATTGTTTTCTTTAAATTTAGTTTCTTGTATGTATAATATGCAAATAGTTTCAAAATAGCTGATGTACTTTTCATCGTAAAAAAAAAAAGGAGCGAAGTTAAAAAATATAGCAAATGTCAAAATAATTCTCATTTTAAAAAAACTCTATCTACAAGTTAAAGATGTCGAAAACAAATACTCATTATATATATTAAGGTAAATTTGAAACATTTAATGGTAAGATGTTGAACATTGATGGAATAAAGGGAAATTATTGATAAGGGTCAAAAACACAAAAATAATAATTTGAAATCGAGAGGATGAATTTTTTCACAAAAAACAACATGTTTGACAAGGACATGCAAGGAAAAAATAAAATTATGAATTAATGAATAAATTAATTAATTAACTTCGTGCAATTCTTTGAAATTAAGACCTCAATTACCAGTTTTCATGCTTTAATTAAAACTATAATAATCAAGAGATTATTAATTAGATCATGCATGGATTAACGATGAAATGATAGAAAAAAAAATGTTTCATCATTTTCTTCTTTCCATACCTACCTGTGAATAAAATATATTCGAAATAGTAGAAACTTAGTTTCCATGGCAACTGAACATAATTTAAGGAATCAGGATTCAAAAACAAATTTGGAATAAAAACTAAACAACATAATAGCAAAGCTGTAAACAAAACAAATCAACATGCATATATTTACAAGCAAAAACACATAAAATCTATGAATATTTTTGCTCCATTATTGAGTCATTTTGTAATGAGTTCAATTTTGTAATCATATGAATTTTTTAAAATCAAACTTTCAGTTCATTTTCATACTTAAAAAGTTACATTGAATCATTTACAGAATATATCATAAAAAAATCATTACATATCTTATAAACTCAAAAGTCAACTTAGATATCAATATATTTCCCACATATCTGCCAAAAAGTTTGATGCCTAATTTTTCTGATATACCGGGTAATGGCATATTTCCTTAAGGAAAAAAATTGTTGAAAATTTGTCTCATTCATAAATACATACTATGAATTTCCAGTTAAACATGACTGGCTAATTGAGATAAAATTTTAAGAGCAAACATTCATAGATTTGACAGTTTTGAATTAAATTAACAAAGTGAAGTTGGTTAGAGTTAGTATTGCAGAATAAAGCAGTTAGTATGGGGTAGGTAATAAAACATGCAAATAATTCTTTGTTTCATCCAATAGATACATAAACCTTTTTCAAATTTTTGTAAGTGACTTTTGCCCAAAATCCAGAAAGACAGTCTTCCCAATAGCTTTTGAGGTGTTGATGAAACAAAATATTTCCATGCATTCATTTAGATTAATCTCCATTTTGATCAGTGAAATACAGTTTTTGTATCAAAAACCATATTTCAGCAAATCCCAACAACTCATTGCCTGGTCACAGCCGACTAAATTATCTTTTAAACTCTTCAAATTGTACGTGAAAATAACATCATTTCATTCTAAAAATTCTAAATTTTCAATTCAATCAAAGTCATATTTGTGGCCAACGACATGGCAACGAGAGTTTTCAGTAATGGAGATCATTTCAGTGTCCATTCATGCAACTTACACATATCCTGTAGATTGACCATATCATTCGGAACTTCCCACACCACCTCACCATCTTCCGTAACTATGGATACGATTAGAAAAAGGGACAATCAGATGTCACAGCAGAATAAAAAGCACACACAATGATGACAACGTACACTAAATAGTAGGCAGCCGTCACATTTGAAAAATTCACACTAAATTAAGTGGTGCAATTCTAAATATTTATATATATAACTGTATATTATATATATATATTACAGATATGGGGTGCATTCGCTCAGAAAATTATTGGCCAACGACATTGACCACGCCATTCTTTTGCTTCCTAGTTACAAGATAGCAGATACCACACGGTGAAATACTAATCAACTCCTGCAGACCACCGCGACCACCAAATATAGTAAGTCTGTTAATTTACAATTCTCAAACCAATACCAAATCATGATTTAGTAAAGCAATGTAATTAAAAACACATATGAAATGTAAAAAATCAGCTATTTTGTATTCCTTGGTCTGTAGAAGTTATATGATAATATGATATATTTTTTTATATGGTGGAGATATAGATATAATATATATATAAATACATACTAAATTCATTTACAGCGTGAAATTGGTGTCAATTAAAGCAGGTAAAAAAATCAAAAACTCTTTCTGATTGGTTCAAAGTTTTTTGAATTTTTGAAAATTTAAATTGTATCCAATCAAAAATAGTTAATGGTGATTGGACAATCCAAGCCTCGGCCTCATGCTCCAGGTACCCAGTGTATTAGTGACATCAGTTTCTACAACTTGCTGTGGTCTAACCCCATTAAAACATTGAATCTATGTCATGCAGTTTGTCAAAACCGGGACCGATCTAACTAATGTTACTTGCGCTCTAAACTGTACACTACTGTGATAGACTCGCTCATCCAGCCAACAGACACTAACTGTCACCAAGATGTCTGGTTGAGGGAGGCTATCATAAAGTAATAACCATTATTACTACTTTGGATTTAGTTTTTCAAGTATAACTATTCACTATACAGAATATATAAAACCACTACTTAGCATGCAAGTTTGAACTGGTTGCCATGGAAAACAAGAGGCCAAAGGTTACGAGATGACTGAATAGGGGTTGTCCAAGTGCACTCTGAATAAAATATACTAACCGAAAGCCCCTCTCGCTAAGCCTCGTCCACGTGCTAATTGTGTAGGTAACATAACTTCTTTTGGCTGAGCTTTCTTACATTCAACCTGTAAGGACAAAAGAACACAGCCATGCCAATACAAGTCAAATATAAAAATAGAGTTAACTCCCTTGTATTGAACATTGAATATTTTCTGTATGCCAGAGGACCTAGCAATGGAGATAAATGCACTTTTATGTTAGTTTTTTTTTCAGACAAGCTCAATTTAAAATGGGCTTTCAATTCTTCAGGTTGTGATTAATTTTGAGATGAACTTACCATTTTACCCATTATTTCGTGGAAATGTATTTCACAAACTTTTTCTACTGCATCTTCCGTTTCAAAAGTAACAAACCCGAAACCTGCAAGAATAAAAACAGTGACTATTAAACATTTTGAAAACTATTCTAGAAAGATGAAGAAAATCTACCAATCTGACTCATTCTAAAAATAACGCAAATAAAAATTGTACTTTTGTACACAAATTAACCTAATTTTTCGACTGCCATTTATTAACAGTAAAGTGGGCAGTACCTAATTAGTTTAGAATTGTATTCATCGCATGTAAAAATAATCTGCGGGTGTTTGAATAAGTTAAATTTAGAATGAGTAGGATGGTAGGTATTGAGACTGTATTAATCTAGTCTATGATGGTATGCGGATATCAGACACTGCTACATTGTACGTCGCCCTACGGACAATGAAGCCGTCTGTTTACGAAGGGAGGTAATATCAAATAATTGACATTAATGTTTACACTTGTAGCATATCATTGAGGTGTGGTGAGACTTTATAGTTCACAGAATATTTTACTCTTAAAAAAACACAGGGACGTGATATGAAAAATATGTTAGAAGTCAGGACATGAAAGGAATACCATTAATGGTGTTTTCGGTATTTCGGCCATTTCCTGGTCAGGTCATATTTAGATAGAGCTCATTGACGTCTGAGTATTAAGTCAATGGTAATGTTTGAACTCGCGTACTCGGTATACAGTGTAAGTTTAATCCATGTTGGTCATACCAATACCAAATGTTAATCAACCCACATCCAATTATCACTGTACTTTTAGGGGTAGATATTTTGATATTACAGTAGATTCTCTCACCAAAGATGGATATCAAATGAGTAGAAGTCACAATTGGGGTTATTGAAACATCAGAACCATAGCCTTGGAAGATTATCATCAGCACCTGATGGCCTAGCAGATGGAAATCCAATTCGCTGCCTATAAAGCTACAGAGCAAATCAATTTTGTACACATTGATTGGCAAGTTTTTATCAATAAGCATGAATATATTAAACATGATTTTGTCATCATTTGTGGATAAAAATACCAATTAGTGAGACAATCAATATATTCTTTACCAGAAATATGCATAAATTAAAAATATTGTGACAGATAATGACCCAATAGACCTTGAAAATGTAGTTTAATTGCGATATCTTTAGCATAAGGTCCCTGAGTAGACTATAATAGAACTTTATATCATGAAAGATGTTTGTCTGTCAAATACACTTTATACTTTTCACCACAAAGTCTGTTACATGTGAAGGGGTCTTGTAGTTGGTTAGTGGAAAAAAGTTACCTTTGTGTAGTAAATAACTTTGGGTAATGATATGTATGTCTGATACTACTAGTAATGCCACAATTACTTTGTAGCACTATCATGCACATCAAATTAAACTTATCAATGCTTGGAAAATTCAAATATACAAAAACTGAGCTACCAGTAGATATAAATTGAAAATGGAATCATTTAATCATATATTAGATGTTAAATAACCAAGTAATTCTTGAATCAGGATATATTTTGATCTTTTTACTGCCCTATACTTCAGATGATTTTTATTTGAAGATTTTTTCTCGACCTCCTGGTAGAAATATTATTTCAGAATACTATACATTATAATCTAAACACCATGCTTTGTTTTCACTCTTAGGTTCAAAACAAACTACATTGATGGCAGTATATAATTGATGGTATGGTAGAAAGAATTAATAGTTTTAACACTTGCTTGTCAATCACTCTCACCTGTCAATAATACTCACTAACCTTCCTCACTAATCACTTGCTTTGCCAATATATTATTTATCAACTACCAGGAGTCATTTGCAACCAAGTTGCTAGCAGATGTTGGTAGACATTTTTTGCCAAAATGTCAAACATACACTATTATCTCTATAGATTCAAAGTTAATTCTTTAAAAATCTTTCTGGATTCCCTCCAAATACCTTGATGAGTTGATCAGAAAGTCAAATTAATATGAGACAATAGTGTATTAGATTTCTGGTGACTTGAAAAAAGCGTTAATCTTTTGGTAAGCTGCAACATCTTATTTAAAACAGCTGAATAAGTTCTCCCTCTCTAATAGATCCTTATTATTTTGTAAAGGTGCTCTTGTTCAACACTTATCTGAATTTCCACCCAAATCACCAGAAGATAAGAAGAGTTAAGGTTAGGAGAATGTCTACCTTAGAGAAGCTACACATATGGACCCAAAATGTCCACAATTTGACTCTTAAGCTTGACATCTATATTTTCACTTGTCAGTATCATGACAATGTCAAACTTATTATTATAGTTTTGATCTATATTCTAGAATTCCCTTCCAGCAAAACATCTCTTTATTGTTCTAAACAATACATTGATTAATAAAAACAAAACAATCTAAAACAAACAGAAAAATAGCTTTTATATGTGTTAACTATTAGTGGGCAATCAATAATACAGGATACAGTAGATTATATATCTATATTCTGTGTTAAAGAGATAGCAAAAGGTCTTTCTGGTAGGTCTAGGAGCTGAGAGACTTTATGCTATCCCATATGGCAGTGTCAAGTAAATCTGATATGACCTTGGTAAGTGTTGACAGGAATCAAATGATCCATCATACTGACATATTTATTCCCATAATGCATCATTCAGATCCAGATTGAAAAGTAGCATAAGTCGGATATTCTGGAATGGTAATGGTCTGAATGTCAATGGATAAATGGATATGCCAGGAATCTTTTACAATTCTTTAAAACAAGATCAAATAGGCCTATTAATGTTTAGTCCACATTGACATTTTGTTGGAGACACTATTAGATTCAATTAAGATGTAGTTTTTATTAGAGATCACATCAAAGGAGGTAAAAATAGTCAACTTATGAATAATAAAGGGAGATAAAGACATTCTCTTTGAAATCATTGTCACTTTTTTATCTTCATCAACAGAAGAATGTATTAAAATCAATATTACATTAAATACCCATGATTTCACTGAGTTCTAGCAAGAAAACTTGCTAATTATCATTAAATCGTAAGAGTAAGTGAGGCGAGAAAACACCATGATTAACTTATAGAAAAAAGGTCTCCAGAATGAGAAAACAATGAAGATGTAAGTAATGGAACTGTCATAAAGTCATGATAGCATGATCTAATCTGGCAACATATATAAACATTTGTCTCTGTATCACACTTGTATCATAAATATCATTGTACTGATAATAAACAAACATTTGTGTTATGGTGATAAACAAAACTAAAAACAATGCCAGACGTGAATCATAGGCATCATAAATTTAATACTTTTTCATCTAAGCACATTTTTTATCTGTATCTTCCTTGAAAAAAAGTAACCACTTTGAATCAAATAATCATTTCTATTAAATTGGCCAAACGTGCAAAGCCCTCATTTTATTCCATTTAATGTGTGACCTTGAACATTTTAAAAACAATCTAGTCAAGTCGGTCAGGAAATAAATGAAGACTAGAAAAATCCTAAGATGTATAGGAGATAGAAGAAAAAATCTATTGTAAATGAGATCTCAATTTTCTCTGGAATTCAATTCCATCAGACCATAAATAAAGATTTTTCTAAATCTTGGCAATCAAGAAGAAAATAGATCAAAACCAATCGCTTTGCTTTTTCATGAAAAGTGATTTCCATTCGAGGAAGCATGAAAACTCTGTAAGAAATGATGATTGTTGGTATTGGGTTGTAGTGAAATTCAATACTGCCAATTTCTCTCTCATATTGACCAATCAATAGAAGAACGATAAGAAAACATGTAAAATGAAGTCACTGAGAGCTGTATTTTGTTTGCTCAAACCCAATGTTCATAAGTCAGGAGACGAAATGACTTATTCTCAGAGTAATGAGCTTCTTCGCACCGTTATAAGATTGGATTTTACGATAAGTTCTAACTTACTATATATAATGTTTCTCTATATAGACAAATACTGTGATATTGGATTACAACAACTAGATTTCCTTTACAATACCTTTAACATTTGTCCCAAAGTCTGGCATTTATGATAGATATATGTATTCAGAAAAAATCTAATATCTGTTTTACAACAAGTTATTTTGAGTTTTTTTACTCCTCAGAATTACTTCTTGTAATAGCCATCCTGTCATATAAATTAAAATTTTTTAGGCCAATCAGAATTCCAAGACAAACTCTTAGTACAGGAGTGCTGAGACAATAATTAAAGATATCCACAAGATTTACGAAAAAAAGATAATTTGAGGTTGTCATTTAGAATTGAAAGAAGAGAAATGACAGTGGAATCAGACGTAAATATCCCACAATAAATAGATAATGGCAGCCATGTCTTGTTAGTATATGATCTATCACGCTACATCTTAAAGTAGGACTGCCGGCAAAGTTTTTTCATCACATTACTTGGTCAATCCTTTACCGAAGGGTACAAGAAATCAAATTCCTTAGAAAAAGTTTGACTTCAGTGCTATCATTTTTACAAAAATAAAATTAGCTTTGAAGAGATATTTTGCAAATTAGGTGGTTTTAGGTTTATTAAGTTTGAATATTCTTGTATTAAATGAAAATAATCAAATTTATGAACTTTGACCCTTTACTACAACAAGTTTAAAAGTGTTTCATTACATACTTTCATTGATTGATGTTTCAAGCGGCTTCTTTGGTATAATACAATGTAATGTCCTAATGTTTCTATACTAAAATTTCTAGGCCGTGGACCTTTAAGTATTAGAGTCAATAACTACCAAATATGTCTTAACAGTATATATGACTAGATTTCATGTCATACAGCACTTCACCCTGCTCTCTTAATTATTGCTTATAATGTTTGAGTGCTTTTCTTTTATCTATAACCACTCAATAAGCCAAGGAAATCTATTTCAATCAGATTATAGTCTGACGAAAGTGGATGGCGGATTGTATTCAATCTTTCATGACTCGCTTACTTTATGTGATTGCCAGACTATCTGAGTCAGGATATTGAATGAAATCTTGCAGATAGTGGACATGTCCTTCGCGTTCTATTACAGCCCATATCATTAATTGATTTACCTATATATACCAATACTTTCTGAAATGTAAAGAGAT